CCCCCCCCCCCCCCCCCCCCAAAAAAAAAAAAAAAAAAATTGGTTGCAAACTTTTTAACCCAGAACAAGTTAAGGGAGGTGATGCTACGATTATATAATTCCTTGGTAAGACCCCACCTAGAATGTTGTGTGCAGGTTTGGTCACCGTACCTTAAGAAGGACATTGCTGCCTTGGAAAGGGTGCAACGGAGGGCTACGAGAATGTTTCCTGGTCTTAGAGGAATGTCTTATGAGGAGAGGTTAGCTGAGCTGAATCTGTTTAGCCTTGAGCAAAGGAGACTAAAGGGGGACATAATCCAGGTGTATAAGATTCTAACGGGTCTGGATGCTGTTCAGCCAAATGGGTACTTCAATATTAGTTTAAATACTAGAACTCGTGGCCATAAGTGGAAATTAGCAGGAGAACATTTTAAAATGAATTTGAGGAAGCACTTCTTTACACAGCATGTAGTGAGAGTATGGAATAGTCTTCCTGCTAGTGTAGCGGAAGCTAAAACCCTGGGTTCCTTTAAATCAGAGCTAGATAAGATTTTAACAACTCTGAGCTATTAGTTAAGTTCTCCCCAAACGAGCTTGATGGGCCGAACGGCCTCCTCTCGTTTGTAAATCTCTTATGTTCTTATGTAGCTCTTTAAGAACTATAATTTGGGTTTTGATTTATTACTACTTGAAATTGTTTTACTTAAACCTATTGCCTTTTTCTAATGTGATATATATTTTTGTTAACACTTGAATAAAGTAATGATTCTTGTTATAAAACCAATACATTTGCAATATTTTTAGTGAATTATGGAAGTGTACCAAGACTTTCTGTCATGTACCCCTGACCTAAAAAGCTTGTGATCAGAAAGCTGAAATTAAGTGAGTCTGCGTGCAAGAAGAGTGAGCAAAGGGCAGCAGATGCAACTGTGCCCGTCTCTTCGGAAATGTAACCGGCTGACGGCATCGTGAGAATTTTATCTGCCACAAATGATCAGTATATCTGCAAGCCAGTGTTTTGCATGTTGAGTCTGTTGATGACCATAGTGGGTCATATTTTTCATTAAAAACTTAAACAATCCTGCAGGTGTCGCATGAGAGCTGAAAGTAGGCCAGCAAAGTAAAAACAGAAACAGGTTCTATACAAAAATTCAAGTTCCAAAAGACATCTAAGATAAAATTAGAGATGGAGGCATAACCACCCAAAAAATAAGACAACAAATCAGATCATGTTTTAATAAAAGCCCATTTTTATCGAAAGTTCATTTAAAGCAATTATGAGGTCCTCATGTTTCTATACAACTTAAATAGAAAGCATGACGTACTTAACAGTGATAATTAAAAGCGTACCGACAGATTCAGAAGAGATAAGAAGTATATTGGTTTCAAATGGCAGTTTCTCTACAGAAAAACAAACAACCCCTTAAGAAGAAAACGTACAGCTATTTCATTAGAAAATAAAGGAGAACAAATGAGTAAACAGGTCCAGACTCCAAAATTCCGCTCCATATGGTTAGATTATTCTGCGACAGAGATGTCTATTTTGAAGTCATTTATATTTAATTGAGAGCACCCAGAGCAAAGCTCATATTTTGGCCCAAGACTGCAGATTTCTAAAGGGGACCGCACAACCTATCAGAAATAAGTTTAGTCTGTTACTTTGAAAAAATTTAATTTGCTGTTTTTTTCTGTTATGTGCACAATACTTTTGTATTATTAAAGTGCATACTTGAGTTAGTCGATAGAAAGAGCAAATTGCTAAAAAGAAATAGAGTAAAAAAAGTAAATAGTCAATTTGCTATACTGTTAAAGGACTTACTGAGACTGTGAATTATACTTCGATTTAAAAAATGTCACTTGCAGTTTTCCATGCCTCGCCCTGACACAAACCACAAGACATCACGAGTAATTTTTAGCAATTAGCAAAATGAGCCTTCATCCCTTTAGTTGTTGGCAAGGTGTTTAATTCTGAAGACTCGTGCAGCTATTGACCCAGAGAGGTGCTTGTCAGTGGTCTAGGTTTACATTGGCACACAGCACTCACATGGCACAGATAGTCAACCAATCAAATCGTACCTGAATTGGACCTTTGGGTTTTTAATCAGTTGGAGGCACAGGTGGGCAGTTTGCCCTTAGCTTGTTATGCAGAAGGTGCATTCTTGCACTCAGCTTATAAAAATCTACTAGATAATGACTGGTATAAGAACTCCAGCATCCAGATTTAACTGCAATTTGTGGTTCTATTTTAATGATTATTTCCTGAATATCGTTTTTTTTTTTTTTTTTGCTTATCTACATTTAAAAGCAGTCCTTTTACCAAACCCCAGAATAGGCATGGAAAATATACAACACTGAGTGTGTAACGTGTTAAATGTGTAGCATGAGACAGGTAAGCAGTTTCACTCGCTACGTTTTTAAAACGGTCCGATTCCTTTCTTTCTCACATTATGTCCCTTGACATAGGGGGTGGAATTTCCATCCTAATCTTAAACGCACATAAAATAAATTCACAGTCATCTTTAAGGTCCACATCACCACCCAGAAACGAAAAAGGCATTTTAGCCCATTTTCTGTCCACCAAGAACTTTTAAGAGCATGGATATTTTGCGCTGGAAAACATCGTATGTAGGAGATACAGAATGCATGCAGGTGTTGCGTGTCGCAAATATGTCCACGTGTAGCTATCGCAACCATGTTCGAACCACCCCAAAAGCAAGCTGTCTGTCAACTGTGGGGTTACTAGGAGTGAAACTAGTCGCCTGATCCAAAAATGTTGCCGCCCACTTAGTAATTCTGCTGTCCGGGTAACTTTAATCTTACAAACAGGCTTTGATGAGCAGTATTTCCATCCATCAATCGTAACAAAAAAGCTAGATAGCTAATCCAATTAAAATAAGGCATAGACAGCTGGATACATCTGTCTTGCATCTGGAAACTTTGAAGCATCTTCTGTCTTCTAGTCTCTCCTCTCAAACATCAACTGGTGCTCCAAGCGGTGCAGCCTGGACCGGAGCGGGATCATCGAGATAGCAGAATCGGACCGGGCCCCTTGTTAGTTTATCCTAAGCTTCGTTTCCCACTCACTCGACCACACGCAGACACGGAACCGCTGCCGGCTAGGCTTCCCCGGGCTCTGGTCGGCCGGGCCTCTAACTCGAGTCCCCAGACACAGCGATCCCTTCTCCGTGCTCCGAGTCGGGCCCGTCCTGCTCATCAGAGGGCAGGTGGACCCGCTGCTCATCCATACGTTTAGCCTGCACGCGCTGGATCAGGCTGAAAAAGTCCTCGTCCGGCACGGTCGGCGCTCGGGGGCCAGGGTCAGGGGGCGAACACCTCTGATCGTTGATCCTGGAGGACTGGAGGGAAACAGATAAGCTAGTGACAGGGGAGGCTACAAAATGAAGAAAGGGGCCCCTAACAGCGCTGAGGGGACCTGGGGCACCAAGATAAGAGGATGAGCATAGCACTGGGCAAAGAAAAGCAAAACGGTGCAGGATTACAGTTTATATATTTCTGCAATCGTAACTGATTACCGCAAACCTTAAATAACTGGATCTGTACTATTCAAGAATAATCAATGCTTTTGGCAACAGCTGTAACAGGATACACTAAAAACAGACCAGACTGATTTGCGGCAATGTGCCAGCTTCACCACTAGATGTCACCAAAGATGTGGGTGAGGTATCAATATACTGCTTAAAATTTATTATTGAATCTGATCGATAAGGACAACATATTACTATTTGTAATTTAATACCAACTAATATATTATTACTTTAATTCAATATATTATTTCAGATATGACCACAGCTAATTCCAATATAGGTATATAATTATTCAAATGTATCATTAATTCATGAATAGGCGTAATTATTTAACAAAACCTCTGGCAATCATATGTATATAGTTCATCTACATCTTTTATGAATTGCCCCAATTCTAAGCACCACTTAGTGTTTCTCATTTAAGCTTATAATTCTCAGAATTCTGAGGCCACCACAGCGCCCCCTTCAGGACTCGTGTGCCCATGCGCCCCACCCAGTTACCTGGCACTTGATAAGCATGTTGAAGAAGTCGTCTCCGGGCTCCTGCGGGTCGCCATCCACGCACAGGTGGCCCAGGTTATTGTGTGTGATGCGGAGCCCTGGCAGGTTACTGACACTGACCCTCTGGTCGTCAAGGCGGCGACTCTGCGAGCTGGCGATCAGGTCAAACAGCTCCTCTGTCTGGGGGGAGGTCATGAGGGAGCAGGCGTCTAGGGACGTGCACAGGAAAAATAAAAATGAAGAAAACAGCTGTCGTATTTTGGGTACTTAGCTTATTGGTCATACAAGAAATTAATGTCTTTCAGATCTTCAGTGCCACCAGCATTACAGTCGAATTACAGTGAATTCTCAATTCAAATTTGCAAAAAATTTGAATTGGTGATGTCATAAACAAGCGCCCACAACCATTTGGGTCTCTAAGTTAAGAGGTTTGATGCAGGAAGGGTGGGCGCTTGTTTATGACATCAGCAGAGAGCGACACAGGGGGGCATACCTTTGGCACCGTTCTGCTGCTCGTCCAGACGGCACCGCTGATCATCCATCCGGCTGCTCTGGAACTTGCTGAGCAGGTCGAAGAAGCAGTCCTCGTCCGAGGGATCTCGGCCTAGTTTCTGGAACAGAGCATCGCGATGGATCAGAGAATCATCAGGGCCCTAGACCTCCACCCCAGGCAGTCTTTAGCATTTACTTTAGGTCAGGGGTCTCGAACTACCGGCCAAAGGATTCCTTATGGCTTCCTCCATGTTTTTAATTCAATATTAAATCTGGCCTGCAGATCGATTTTTCGTTTTCCACAGAGAATAAAAAACAATGTAACGCTAATGACCTCCACCACACCCCCAACTCCCATTTCCCATTTCCCTTTCAGCTCAAAAAAATAAATAGCTTAAGTGGCCCCCTTGGGAGAAGACCTGCTAGCCAGTGCCGTGGCCCCCAGCTTATCTAAATCTGAGGCTCCTGCTTTAGCTCCTGCTAAGAATTAGCACTGTTTATAAGTGGTGATGCTCTACATAACGGAATTACAGCAATGCTGGTGTTTGGGCCCATTGCCTTCATGTCAGAAGCGTACATCTCTGCCGGTCACATCACTGCGACCATACAGCCAGCACTGCGCGAATATGCAGATCTGCGTGCAGCCACCCCATCTGCAGCCAGAGCTGCGTCTGCCTCTGCGCTTCAGGCAAACAGACCACCCAGCGCCGTCACCCATTTTCCATTAGGTGTAAAAGCAGGTAAGATCATAATTAAGCAAGAGCACTGATTCTGATGAAATGCACGTCCGTGGAAATGACAGCATTAAAAAAATAAAACTTTTCATTCCCTTGTACTTTTATGCAAAGTGACAAATACAAGAAGAATCCACTCTATATTATACACAATGAACAGATTAACATTGCAATTTCTCACTGGTCTCCATCCTAAGTTAATTACAAATTACATCCAATGTCGTTAAACTCAGGTCGTTAAATTATTAAAAAGGGTCTGATTCTGCCAGTATGTAAAACCGGTGGTGACTCACTTTTGCATGAGGAAAGATATTATTTTCATAATGTAGCTCTCAGTTTCCTGACCTCTATGATTGAGGACACCGAGTGGTTACACTGCAGGGAATATTTAATGGAATGACACGCCAACCTCTGGTAAGATATTATTCAAGTAAAAGCAAAATTACTGTCTGTGAGCGGAGGAAATGTTGCCTGTCCTATTATGAAATAACAGCCCGGATCCACAAAAGGTTGATGCGCTGAGCACTAAAGAACATAGAATCAAATCAATGGCAGACACACCGGTTGTGGGACACGCCCACACCCAACCGTAGATGAAACACAAACGATCGCCTTGGCAACCTATCCACACTGTTGACTTTAGGCTCATTAAGCAGCCTTCACTTGTTATGAATGTCATTTCAGGGACGGTCTCTTTATAGTAAACAATGGGTAACGTTCGTCACCATGCTGGCATAACAGTAGACTGTGGGTGACAAACGTGGTCCCATGCCGATGTCGTTTCACACGTGAAGCATCGTTCAAAGCACATTTAATGAAGGAACACGCCGACTAACATACGACATCACCGCTCGCCGGAGCGACACGGGAGAAGCCACTCGCTAAAGTCTTAGAGAGTGCTGGACCCGGAAGCAGACAGAGGCGCCCTCTACAGGCGGCACCTGCACACTGCATTGTCTCCCCTGCCTCCTCCCAGCTCCAGCCTGGATACTGGGGATGAAGGTCACACTCTGCGGTGTCCACATCCTCCCTCTCCGGGGCCCCCAAAAGAACATCAGCCACCACCACCTCCTCCTGTGCTTTTCCTCCCCCTCCTCCGCTGGGTACTAATGTCGTCTGCATTGTTCGGTTAAATGGATGGAATGAGTGAAAGAGAGAGAGAGAGAATGGGGGGTGGAGGAGGAAGGGGCTCTCTTTGGCTTACATCACGGTCGCTATAGAAACCAGGACCTCATTTCCAAACCCTCTCTGTTTCCTGCTGGTCTTCTTTGAATTCACACACACATGTACGCACAGGGGCAAACAAAGGGCGACGTGCACAAACACTCCAGTACCACCCACACACCCACACACACACACACACACACCCACACACACACACACACACACCTTTGTGGGGACTCTCCATTAATTTCTATGGGGAAAACTCTAATCCCAACATGACGACTTTAACCCCTACCCAGCCCTAACCTTAACCATAAGTAACTAAACTAACTTTTGCCATTTTTAGTTTTTTGATTACGGTCAAAGATTGTTTTCATAAAACTTAGTTTCCCCTTATTGGGACTGAAAAAAAATGGTCCCCACAAGGTCAAAATAACAGGTTTTTGAGCCCCGCAGTGTAACATACGACCCCCCCGGATAAAGCCTCCACACCTCACATCTGGCATAGAGTGAACACGAAACCTGCTCTCTTGATCAGATCTTCCGAATTCCAAAGTCGAATTCCAAATTTGGAAGTGGGTGGGGAGACTAATCCAAACAAAAGGGGGGGGGCTCAGATAAGAGAGGCTGCTGGGTAGGAAACATCATTGTTCCTAGTAACAAGCAAAACACACCAAGCGCCTGTGTTTGTGCATAATTCACCCAGACACCACAAAGAGGAACATGACACACCCCACCCATGACTCCTTCAGGCTTTCCTGAGCTCCTTGGCTCCCAGGAGGCTACTACACTGACCTGGAAATATGTAGAGTATGCTCACGGCATGCCGTGCCGACTGAGCGCGACGGAAGAAAAACAAGCTGCATGCTCCTTTAACCAATGGAAGATGAGGGGCGGCCATCTTTGATAAGGGCATTTTTTTAAGGACTGGAAATCAAATTAAAGTTTAAGCCTTCGGCCGACACCAAGATCAGATGGATGAGCTGGTTCTGTCAATGAGCCTTGTTGCTCTCCCACCCCCCCGCCCACCCCAAGCACAGGCGCTGCTGGGATGCAGAAATCATAACCCGCAGCATTTAAACTGCCGATAATGTGGACTGTGACACGTAGCAACTTATGGACTGCTCTACCAATCAGAACGTGAGATTAAACCCCGGGGTTTATTGTGCTTTCCAGCCAATAGAAAGAGGGCCCTAAGTGACAGGTCCCTTATCGGAGCAGGTACCGGTGCGGCGCCATCCTGAGATTCCACCGGAGAGGCCCGGCTGTCCGGCCACGGCGGGTCGTCCAGCGGCTGCCCATCAGTGCCTTTCCGCCTGGGGGGCCGTGACATGCGGTTCCTGCTCCTCCTCGACACGTCGTCCAGGTCCTGGCTGCTCCCGTTCTGTCCCTGGGGAAGGGCAACACAAGCACCAAAGTTAGCTTCTCTGAGAGAACAGCTCATGGTGGTTTTATTACACAAAAAAATGTTCTGAAGGCAGAAGGAGAAATGATTGGTTCTCTCTCTGAACCAATCAGAGTGTAGAGGAGGTCTGTCCAAAGAATTTCTCCTTTTGCCCTCAGAATATTTTTCTGTGTAACACTCCCATGAACTGAGAGAACAGCATGGCAGGTCAGAGGTCATACAGGCTGGTTATGGAAAAGGGGGAGTCAAGGTCACCTTTTCTGGGGGGTACTTCCACAGCTCCACACTGTCCATACTGCTGGCTTTGCTAAATTTTGGTCTTGCTCCTGTGAAAGAAGGAAGAGCATCACACATCCTTATTGAAAAAGGAGGCCTTTACTGAAAGACGTTCTTGTTGACAAAAGAGTTCTCTATATAAGGGCGAAGCTATTACCAACAGGGGAGGTTCTCAGTAAAGAGGTTCCTATAAAATCAAAACTTCAATATTACCACTTACCACAGTGTTTCCCAATCTAGTCCTTGGGGACCCACAGTCGGGCCGTGTTTTTGCTCCCTCTGAGCTTCTTCCCAGACAGTCCCTGCCAGGAACTGGGAGGGAGCAAAAACGGGGACTGTCTGTGGGTCCTTGAGGAGCCGATTGGGAAGCACTGATCTACCGATATCAACTTATGGAGGACGTGTTTAAGACGAGCCTAGAGGACCCAGGACGAGGCACAAGGCAGGGACACCCAGGACAAGACACCAATAGTTCATGTTCTGACTGTACTTTCGTTATCAAATTTGGAAATTTAAACTAAGGAACATCACTGAATGTTTTGCTTGAATGTGGTGAACGACTCCACCAATCAAAGCTGCAGAGATAATCCAATGAATTCGGGATAATGATACCAGCAGGCTGTCAGAAGGTCTAGACGTATTTAGCTTTAGTCCGTCACTAATTATCAATGACAAAGTACGGAGCGAGCTAATGTTTTATACAACCATCATTGGGAAATCAGCAGACTAATTAGATATACTGTATTTATAAAAACAAGAAAAAAACTCTGAGAAAGTTGTTAGCGCTGTGAAGACGTAGAGGGACAGTGAGGGATGACCATCGGTGGGGACAGGCAAAGCAATCGCAGACTAAATTGGACTCCCTCTCCGGCAGGTTTACGCACGTCAGCCAAATTCCCATTAGTGCCACCTGACCACAAGACGCTTCACCAAGTGCCCACTTAGGGCGACGGGCATCGCCACGGAAACTGCCAAGTGTTTTCGGGGGGGAGGAGATCGGGCTTTTAATGACATCATTTTGGGACTCGCTTCACTTCTGTACCATCAAGGCAGTGCATTGCATCATTACTCACTGCCAGGTCAGCCGGCAATCATTTGTATTTATTCCCAACAATGACGACTCTGCATATGATTTATTGAACGGGAGCATTATGAAAATCCCAAATGTACAAAGGCCCTTCTCAGTATGATGACATCATGTGTATTAATATAAATACTTAATCCTCACAGGCCTGACAGTCATTATTATTATTTCTTCACTCTCCATATTCAAATTTCTAACAGCTTCAGCATCTCACAAAGCTGCTTGTGCCTCCCCCACAAGCAAACAACACTTTCGTTTCACTTCTTTACTTCCTTACACTGAATATCTAGTGTTCATATTAAATAAATTAACCAAAAGATATATGTATGTAGGGTTATATGACATGACTGTTGATTTTCACACCAAATATTTCCAATGTCCAATGTTAAAAAAAGATTATAAAATAAATATTCTTTACCTGTGTTTTTCTATTCACAACTAACCAAACAGATATGGTGACAACGACATTCTCTGTTGAGCAGCACAGTGGATTGAGATAAACATTGTTACTTTTTTGCCATTCCGAAACGCGCTTAATGCAGGGCCAATGTTTGAGCAATTCCATTTATAACCAAGAGAGGGCGCATTACCTCCACTTTATGAATTTTGTACACATCAGAGAGGAATACAAAACTTACATCAATATGATATAATGGTGATTAAATTATTTAAATGGTTAAATCATTGATAACCACGCATAAAGGAAGGCGTGAAGCATGCTGTAAATTCCTCATAGAAATTAGTTTCTGGAAAACTCTTCAGCAGATGCCAATTTTAAGCTTACCTTGCACCTCAAACTCGGACCCGCATGATGAAAGGTCCGCTTCGCTTATGTCCAAGGTCTCCATGAGCTCCTCCACGTTCATCTGAGCGGTCTGTTCGCCTTCGTGGTCCCCGATCTGCAGAGAGACCGTTTCCATGGTGAGCGCCCACAGCCAAAATGTACAGCACCAGATTCCCTGAGGGCAAATAGAAACTCAATCGAAATGAGTTTCAGCTCCATCCTCGACCTTCTGTTTAACCAACTGGGAGCCTCACTTTTCCATATGTGGATGAGGGTGCTTACATTCAACATCACAGGAGGCCACATTTACCTACTCAGGGCTACCCTCCATCACGTGAAGACACACCCATCAAAACCAAAGGGAATGATCCTATCTGTACTCCGCCATATTGCTTTCCACATGATCTTCGCATAACAGAGGGGATTAACCGAGATCAAGGGTTGATACCCGGCCAGTGGAGATGGAATGTGCTGATGTAATACGTAAGGAAGTCACAAACTGGCCCCCAAACCACAGTCGGCTGCACGATGCACTAGATCAAAGATTCCTTTGTGTCCTGTACATTATATTTAATTTATTTAGCAAAGTCTTTTGTCCAAAACAACTTACATGTGAGGAAAACTTGGAGTCACCCAACATCTGACACCAATGGTCTTTGTTCAAGGCCCTAACAGTGATATGACAACTACACCAATGACAGAATTGGAGCCCACAAGCTTCTGATCTATACAGTGCCTCATAACACTAAAGAGAGCAGATCATCATACAATACGAACAAAATGATCAGGGGTGCTTTGGCTTTGTGCATGATGACAGGACTGTCCAGAGTTCTGACTCTTTCTGACCTCCAACAGTCAAAATAAGAGGAGAAAGTGGAGTGAGAAAAATCTTTATCCCAAACATCACAGGGCATAAGGCTGTGAAGCGCACCGGACAGAATTCCTGTCCATCGTCACACTCACACACAGGGTCATATTATATGGCCAGTCAGCCTTGCTTCATGCGTTTGGACTGTGAGAAAACCCACTAAATGAGGAGGACATGCAAACTCCACATGCACTGAACAATGGTGGGATTCAAACTCACAACCCGTGTCTGTTGTCTGTGCCGAAAAAATATTTAAGATTTGTTAAGACTTCTTCATTTTACGAGCCGTTCATGCAGAAAGTGAGATTACTCCGAAGGATTCGCAAACGTTTATCACAATCATAGCAGCGTACTTCGGCCAGCTGTCCAATGTCTTGGCCAACAGCCCTCACCTCTCTGGAGATCTCCAGGTGCTTGCGGGCATAGTGCAGCGCCCTCCGGTGGTTCCCCAAGGCCACGTAGGCATTCCCCAGGCTCCAGCAAGCACGGCCCTCCCCAACCCTGCCGGCCAAAAGCAGCAAACCATCCCAGGGGTTGAACAAAGCTGACCTCAGGAATTACAGTCAGTCCTGCTACAATGCAACCAATGCATTACAGAAAAACCTCGCACTCATTAAAATCACATACTAAAAATACACATAATCCAACAGGAAAAATCGGGTTAGGGGAATGCAGCTAAAAAAAAAAAACTTGGTAACTTACGAATTGGTAACTTAAATGAATTCAATAATAAAAACAGGGATACCAGCGGTCAATAATATAATTATATGCCTGTTACATAAATAATAATAATGCAATAATAAATTATATCAAACATTTACATACAGTCTCACGAGAATTGCCTAGTAATTGCTTCAACTGAACATGCTGAACTCTAACGTCAGTTGCTGAGAGTCAGGAATAACGACGGCTAAAATGACGCTCGTGGAAGTTTTGCTTACACAGAAATGGTCTGAGGGCAGAAGAAACAATGATTGGTTATCTTCCTGAACCAGTCAGATTGTAGAGGAAGTGGGTCCAAATTAGAAGAGGCAGAACCAAGACATCTGATTGGTTGGTCCTGCCTCCTCTAGTTGCTTGGACCCACCTCCACTACAATCTGATTAGTTCAGGAAGATAACCAATCATTGTTTCTGGTTTTTGGTTATAAAACTAGTTCGCACATGGGGCCACCAAAGGCCGGGGCTCAGAGCTGCCAAACCCAGACACAGCTGTGTGTTACACTGGGGAATGAGGCAAGCTTCACCAACCCCCTAGGCATAAATTTGACTTTACCTCGTGGACTGAGAAGTTGGGCCTAAGTCTGACCCTGGGGAGCTGCCCATCTTGCCCCTGCCCGGATCAGCTCCCGACTCGGCGAGCGGACGCACCTGTCAGTCAGCTGCTGGGCGATGGTGAGGTGCTTCAGGTGATAGTCGGCCGCGCGCTCGTACTGCTGCAGCAGCGTGTAGGTGTTTCCCAGGCTGTAGCAGGCCTGGGCCTCCATCACCTGGTCCTTCAGCTGGTAGGAGAGCTGCAGCGTCTTCCTGCATGCAAGCAGCGGGGGAGGTCAGGTGGGGTTGGAGGTAGTAAAGTAAAGAAAGCTGGGGGGGGGGGGGTACTATATAACCTGCATATCCACATCTTCAGAAGGCAACATATGGGACCCATTAAAAACACCCAGTACGGCAAGGCCATAACCCCACTAGCCCCAGCTGAAAGCGGATTGGCCCACAAAGTGCCCCTCCCGTCACTCACGGATTCAAAACATATCATTGGCTAATAAGGTTGGCCCCTCTGTATGGATTATGTTCCGTCTAATACCTCCCTCCCACCTTTAAACGTCCTAGAATGCCCCCCGTCGCACAGCTAGGCAGAACAGAAGAACTTCAGAAAAACCGCTTCTGCTCTTACCTGTAATATTCTGTGGCAGTGTCAAACTCCCCCAGGAATATGAGGGCGTTGCCAAGGTTACTGTAAGCCCGGCGTTCTGCCGCCTTATCGCCGAACTCCTTGGCGATGGAGAGTCTCTGCGTGACGCAAGAAACACAGTTATGGTCTATTGTTCAGTCGCTGGCGTCTCCTCCTACCCCAGCGCCTCAGCACCGACTGAAAATGTGTTAACAGCTGGATGCTGATAGGTGATAATTAATTCCCAATGATACACGCTGTCATCTCATCCAGATAGCACAGGGTACAGGGCAGTACAAAGCGCCCCAATGACCCTGACGAGGATAAGCAGTTAGATGATGAGTGGATGGATGGATGACATGGTAATGCTTAATTACAATTTCAGTCAATTTCAGTAATACTCAATCAATTTCAGTTACCTCTCTATGGAATTTGATGGCTTCCACAAAGTTCCCCAGCAGGTAGTGGGTATTTCCCAGGTTCCCGTAGGCCCTGCCCTGTGCGGCTCGGTCTCCAAGCTCCTTGACCAGGGAGAGGTTCATCCTGATGGACAAAGCATGACAGGGAGAACCGGAGTGAAGTGGGCCGGCATGTTTAAATCAGCAATGGGACACTCCTGAGCCAGAAATGGTGTCCTGGATCCCAACGAAGGCAAGAGAAGCACGCCGATGGCAAGGATAATGCGTAATTATTTGTGACAATCTCATTGTACTGTTTTCATTCCACACATTAAACAGCACTTCATTCAAACTGATTATATTCAAATTCAATTCCCATTTGACTCGCAGGATCTGTGCAAACATGCAAAACGCAGCTAGCATAATGTGCTAACCGCTAATTGCCCCTGGTTTCCTGGGGCTGGATTCCTGCAGACTCTGGCACTGACAGGTCACCGTGGGACTCTGCTCCCGAGGGGGCACCATCTTAACGAACCGTTACTGCTCCCGCCACACTGGGCGAAATTGACAAGGCGCGGCGAGAGAAAGGGAGTGTGTAATTATATGCTAATAAGCCAAGGGCTACCATAGTATGGCAAGTGATCCCTGAGTCACAAAGGAGTCACAAGGGACTCGCTAGGGAGTCATGACGCTCACTGGCTGCAAAGAGGTACAAGCAGCATATGACTCCCACTGGATCGCTTTGCACTAAAGGGATTATTACTCAATGAACACATTTTATCTGCATCAATCTATGTTTCTGTCAGGCATTCAAGATGCGTCTGCATATTCTTTACTAATGCTGCCCCCAGTGGGATTGTGGTTATATTCCATGAAGCGGCTGCTCCTGTTGTGGAAGTGGAAATGTGAATGAATGAATGAATGAATGAATGAATGAATGAATGGTTTAATGGATGGAAGGATCTTTTAAATATTGCCTAAATATTTATTCAATGAACTTTATAGTTGATTCATGAAGTGAGGGAATTTCCCAATTACCTGACTTATTACACACCAATTACTATTTTTATAACTTAACTCTGGTTAGAGTTAAAAGAACATTAGAGGCACTTACTCATAGAAGACGGTTGCCTTCTCCAGGGTTTCTCTGACCTCAGGGGGTAGATTCCCAGGGTCCTGATTGCAGCCCCATGACTGCTGCTTGCCCTTGGCGTGGAACACATTGCCGATGTTGTAGAGCGCCCGGGCCTCGCCCACCTAGTGGCCAGACACAGAAGTGCAATCAGTCATCAGTTCTAATGAGCACCATGGAGCCACAACAATCACTGCATGAAAAACACCACCATCATGCTCATTGAAGGCTCAATCATACACCATATAAATAATGATTCATCATTAGCAGCATTACAATGGGTCGGAGTCTAATGAAAGTTTATCTGGTACTGATAAGGGCTAAAGATACGGATTACTGGCAGACCAGATTTAATGGACTTGTATTACCTCTCTTAGAATTTACAAATGCCCATCATGAGGTAAATAAAGACAGATTAATTAAGCCATTATAATATTCAATTGACTAGTTTTGGATCAGAAATGTAGGGCATATAGTTTGTGTTGCACTATGCAAACCCCTGAGATGGGACACCCTCCAAAAGTGGCTCCACGGTCCACTGAGGACAGGAGGTCCTGGAGGAAGGTCACACACCTTGTCCTCCTGCTCTCTGGAGATGTCCAGGTGCCGCTGGCAGCAGACCACTGCCTCGTCGTAACGGGCCAGGACCTTAAGGGTATTCCCCAGGTTCCCGCTGGCCTTTCCCTCCCCAATCCTATCCCCGATAGTTCTGGAAAGGGAGACCAGACTTAGGTTTGTTGACAAAGTATCTTCACACATAGGGTATTTGTCTCCAGTTGCCAATGACCCTCATACATACAGTAGATACACATACAGCTAAGACAAGTCAACACTCATACAGTCCAGTTGAAATATTCAACACGTTGCTGTGGTTGACAGATGTACAAAGAGTGCATTTCAGTGCAAAGAATGTTGGAATTAATACATCCATCCATCCATCTTCTACCGCTTTTCCGGGAATAAATACAATGCATGCAATAAAATACAATACATACAGAGTTATTGATAACAATGAGGTATTGTGCAGTGCTGGGTGGGAATTGTACAACTGAGCTGGGAGATCACAACTGATCATGATTATTTCAGTTTGCTCCTACAGAAACTGTTTATTGAATAGGCTCGTACACTAAGCAGCATAAACCTGTTTCCTGTGTTTCCCCATGGAATGAAAAATGCACACTATTCCTATATCATACCATGCAGAAAAATGGTAAGAAAATGAGGCTTCCAGACAGAACATCCTGTTCAGCTCTGAAAGTGTCCATTAGAAATTATTATGGACTTCAAGTGGAAATTAAAAGGCTATTTTCAGTTCGGTCCATATGAAGAGGCAGAGTGATAATGGCAAACAGATGCTCCTAGTATAATGAGTCAGAAGGTGACCTCAGTTTGGCTCTTGTTGGCAGTGTTAACCCCGGTCAGCTAAAACAAGTCAAAGGCGGCCGCACATCAGTCCCACCCTGCCAGACCAGGGATTTCTGAACCTACTGACTCTAAGTTTGGACTTACTAATGTAGGATGCAGCCTACTGTGGGGTAAAGGTCTTGACTTTGGCCTGCTCTGAGTATCCTTTGGCTGACGGCACAACGCCCTGATTACACACTGCAGAGGTCATGATAATCACTGTAATTGTGACACACACTTGCTTATGTGCTTGGGGACACTGCATGCCGTTGAACATTTCTGTGTAATTTCTGGTCTTCGTGTGTCGTCCCATATATGCATCTTAAATTCCTCTTCTTAAGCATGTAGCTCTCCAGGATACCTCAGCGGAAGGTCACCAGTTCGAATCCCATCCTTGGGAGAATAGTCACATGTCCGTTGGACTCTTGAGCAAGGCCCTTATTCCCCCGAAATGACCCAGGGATGCCAAATAATTGGGTGACCCTTTGATTGGACCGCAAGCTTCACTCTCAATTGTGTGTCTGTGCGTGTGAGACATATTCCAACGCACCTGTGCTCGTACTTGTGTAAATGGCAAATAAAGCATCATTTCTGGTCTAAGCTGTGTGTTTTGAATCACCACGGCAGGTTCCTTTACCTGGCCAAGGTGAGGTCATGCCGGTGGAACTCCAGCGCCTTTCCATACTCCTTCAGGTAGAAGTAGGCATTGCCTAGCTGGCTGTAGATGGCGCTGAGGGTCTTCAGGTCTTCGGTGCCCACCTGGACGGCCGCCTCGAAGTATGCCGCGCCCTCCTTGAAGTTCCCCACCTTACAAAGCCGCTCCCCCTCCAGGGCCAGGTCCAAACAGGAGGCCTCCACCCTGAATGCGGACGGAACGACCCGAACGTTAGTGTCCGACACCCGGCCAAATTACCGTTTCGCAGGCTAAAGCAGCCCCGCTCTGACTGCACACACAGCACATGATTACATACACAAACTCCCCAGTAACTGCCACTTAGTCTTTTCTCGGAACACAGGAACTTCTTCGGCAGGTCGATAAGTACACCCCGGCACTGCATTCTTCACGGTCTTACACAATAACATCAAAGTCCATAGTCCTGAGAGGTGCACAGGAGCCTATCTGCCTGAACTTTGACGAGAACTTCAGACCCTCCAACAGCGGCATTGCTAGGGACTTGTAACAAGAAACAAGATTTGCTGGTTAATTAGATAACTTGTCGGATTTAAGGTGGACTTAATTTTCGTCCACTTACATTTAACCCAGACTACCTTAAATCAGACAAGTTATCCGGCTAAGCAAAAAATCCTGAACTATCTAGAAATCATACTGAACGGTCTCTCTCTGATGTTGCAATGAAGATTCTGAGAAGCGCAACCCTGGGCTGAGACTGCTGTTTGTATGGAAGTATGGAATTTTGAAACTGAGTGAAAGGCTGTTAAAATATCTGAGCTAAACAAATCTTTGGGGGCTCGCCCAGGCTCGTGAAGCGTCTGCCCTCAAACATTCACCCTAAGCTCTTTTTTGTTCAATTTCCCTGCCCGTCACTCTGTGGAAAAGCTCTTAAATCAAATGATTATAAAGTTCTCCACCTACACTGGAATTCCTATGACACATTACCTGCAGATGTTTGCTGTGACAAGTATTGATGTCCATTTCTTTCTGCATGCAATCTTTTGTATCAGACCAAAACGTTTTTTTTTTTTCCTTTTTACACAGACATAAAATAGGACTGAGCAATGTTTTTCTTCGGGGGAAAAGACAGAACATCTACTGCGGCCTTCTCCACAGTCACCATGGTAACGGTGCACTGGAAAGGGGCTTAAGAAGGCGCCTTTTGGCTCGTCTTAAAATGTCAGCCGACAGCGAACTTCTCCTTGGCTCGAAGAAACTCTGCAAATGCGGTCTGTGTGTGTGTGTGTATTTCCCATTCTAGATACAAAAATGCAATAATGTCACCGCAAGAGCCGTCTCTAATGGGCCATTCCCTCCCTGAATTTCTAACCCGAACACACTTCCACATTTTCTCTGGCTTAGCTTAAATTTTTTATTTTATTTTTTTTTTGTATTTTTTTTTTTTTGCAGTCGGCCAGACCAACATAAACAGAACAAAAATATCTAAAAATAAACTCTGCTGCCGCCTGCTGCTGTTTGAACCCCCACCTCTGAACAGTTAGGGGCCTCAGCGTGGATAAATCCACAGCTATCAGCATGGAGAAACAAGGTGTCTGACACACACCGTCTCCTCTTTCTGGGTAACGTGCATAACCAGCCCCCACTCAGTGCATCAGGAGGCCCACGAGATCACTGATCACTCCACCCAAAATGTAAATCAGTACAAGAAAGTCCACAGCTAGTAACCCCCTCCCCTATCCATCATCTGAAGAATTTCCTGCACTCTGGGTGGGGGGGGGGCATCAGAGAGGCTGCACAGACCTCAGAATGATTCTAGAAGGAGAATATCTCAGACGACTTGTCAGCCAAAGCTGAACTCTCAAGAAAGACCCACCACAATGTCACTTCTACAGCATGTTCTTGGCACAATGACAGGACTAGATCCAAGACGCCGTGATTCCGGCTTTGAACCAAAATGTCTTCACGCACATGGCATCTAGGGACCGTTATCAGTGCAGCTGGAGCTTGTAGGCTTTACACCCTACTGACTGCTGATCCTGCCACAAACGCTCAGCACTCTCCCAAATGGGCTCCCTTGGAAGACAAACTCCCTTTATCATTTTAAATTAACTGCTACTGCAAACCCTTAAAAGTTCTCCAAAGGGGACAGAGGAAGAGGTGCCCTTGAATATTCATGACGCTTTCAAATCAAAGGGCGGATGAAGACCACAGGAAGGTCTTTATGGTTAGAGATCTGTCCGCGCGTAAAAGCAAACGGGGGGGGGTCGTTTCTTGGCCTTGAGAGCGGTGGTAGGATTTATCAAAGTGGGGGGGGGCATAAGAGGTAATAATTCATACAGGAGGACCCACCTTATTATTAGCCAATGATATGTTTTTAAATCGATGAGTGACAGGGGAGATGAACTCCAGGGGCCAATCAGCTTTCAGCTGGACCCAGTGCCCTTGTGGCCCCGCCCCTGTATATACCCCTGCTTGGCATATCAGATGAATGTAAATCCACAGAGCTTCCACATCGCAGCCAAGGCCAGATAACAGAGAAAGGGGGCCCTGTTTTCAAACAATACGCGTGGGCCTTCATAAATATGTAAATGCCGCTGTAGGTATTTTGGCACCACAAAGGGACTGAAATTTCAGTCGGTCTTTTTCACGACGGCACTGGAGGCCGAAAGCCCTTAAAGGCTCCGTGACGTAGACCACAAAATGACTTTTTAGTAGTTAAAAATTTTACGTTTTTTAATGTGCGCTGCAATTGCAGCATGCTGTATATAAATCGCAATACAGAAATACCGCTGGTCGAGGGCTCTCGTCTACCCAATTAATGACACATACTATTCAGATCCCCTGAGGCAAACCGGGGACGCTAAAGGGAGGGTCAACGCCATCAGCCAAAGCGTGTGAATCCTCGTTAAACCCACGAGGGCCCTGGTGTAAAATCCTGCACGATAGGCCAGGCTGCATGCTAACACTCAGCCACTTCATCCAGCTCTTACACATGATCTTGCGCCGAGCAGTAGAGCTGCATCCAGCCGTCACCTGACTGCTCTTCACGACAGGCGGCCTTCCACCACTGAGCTGCATTATGGCGTGTAGGGGTGTAACGCTACACAGTTCGGTATATACCTTGGACACAGTTCGGTATGTTTCCGGTACAGCAGTGGTCAAAGAAACAAAACATAAATTGCTTCTTTTTTACTTCATTAAACAGTGGTTTACTGAACGAAGTATGACTTTCTTATCTCTGTCAATACTGCTGCAACCTACTAATAAACTAAAATTTACTTAAAAGAAAATCAAGATATTCTCTTAAATAAAAATAAAATATCCATTGAAGGTGCACAGTTACAAAAAAGTAACTGTACCTGATCTGTACTGTATTCACATCACCAGCTTTCAGTTTCACATCAGAACCGTGCAACACAAATACCGCCTCAAAAAATGCAAAGCAAAACAAAATAAATATCCTTTATGGTGCAGCATTTAAAAAAAGATACCTGTGCTATATATGTATTCACATTAACAGCTTCCAGCTTCACATTAGGACGCACGTCTATGTGTAGCAGCGCGGCTTCATCCGCCACTGTCTGAATGTTGCTTGGGGGAAACACACAAAGTTTCCGCATTTCTTGCATTGGTTTGGTATATATGCGTACCAAACCGAAGGACCCGTACTGAATATTTTCGGTATGAATATGTCTACCGTTACACTCCTAATGGCTTGGTGTGTTAGGATGCTGTGGCAGTGATCGAAAGGTCAGCGGTTCAAATCCCAGGGTCGGCAGAGTGCTGTCGCTTTTGGGCCGTTGAGTAAGATCTTCAACCCCCAATTGTTCCAGGGACAGTCGGAGTCTTTTCTCAAAAAAGAAGAAAAAAAAAATGTGTTGCTTCGGAGATCAGCATTTAATAACAGACCGGAAGTGGGAGATAGACTTGTGCTGAATACTGAAAGACATATTACTCCGAGCTCTTTGTGTGATTATTTATGCATTTCACCTGCACAGCTGAAATCTCCAGCTTCCGTGCAAAGTGTGATTTGGCGTTTTGCCTGCAGGGGAGATGGAGCATTCCTCAGTCGTCAGTGACACTGGGATGTAATGACATCATGGAGGACCTTCACTCCAAGCCCATGGGCCTGGATCTAGCGTGTGCTGGGAGGAGGTATGAAAAGCCACCACTCCTGAGCTGCTGGTGGACCTCCAGCACTCATCTCCACCAGTAAGCCAAGCATCAGACTTTGATGCCTCCAAATTCTTCCACAAAAGTCAAAACTCCCCAATTAACTACCTGTGGCTTCATTAGTATTGAAAGAAATCAAGCTTGGGAACAAGACTGGGTAGCTCAGTGGATAGCAATGCTGACACCCACCCCCAAGGTCGGGGGCAGTTCAAAACCCACCTGTGTTTCCCCAGGCAGTCCAAAGGCATGCAATTTTCACTAACTGGTGTCTCTGAATTATCCAGATAGTGAATAATTGGGTGTATGTGCTGTGTGATGGACTGCCAGCCCCTTTCCAGGGTGTCCTGCCCAAAAGGAGGACGAATTTGTCAATGACTGCATGATTCAAGAATCATGAGAACCAATCAATGTGCGACATCACGACAACCCCGCCCTCCATGGGAATACACAGGTGCAAATCATCACCACTATTGCATAAAACCTACACAGCAGTGAAAACTCAGTGGGGTTTGCAGAAGCAGCCTTTGGCGAATGCGTACTGCGCCCTAAAGCCCAGCCCACTTTCTGGAATGGAACCGTCTTGTTTACCAATTGCAACAGGTTGAAATACTTTGCTCCAGTGATTTGGGGGCGGAGCTCTGTGGCACTCCTCCAGTTCGTGCTTGACCAATATGCTGACAGTGACAAACTGGAGTCCGTGGGGGATGTGAATCAGCGGGGCACGCGTGTGCCCCGGCACTGGCAAACGCCGTCATGTGATGACAGATCAGCCTTAATGACTGGAATTGACTGGAAGTTATTTAAATGTTCTAACCTTTGGTGTAGTAAACACCAGTTGCTCTATTCCAAAGCCTTTTCAGGACTGACCTCTCATTCTTTGGGCAACAAACTCAATATATCCAGTGTGGTACCAAGGTACACTTGCAGCCTTTCAGTGTACTTGCGTTTATTTCCACAGCGGCTGACAAGACAAGCACACACTTGTCGACGGGCGAATTTAGTCCGAAAATGACGAGACAGGCATCCTCACTTTTGGGAGTCCTGAGCCATAAAACTTGTCTACGTAACGTCCAATTATGTCTTTTCTATTTAGGTCCACTTGCTTGCTGGAAAACCTCTCGCGCCCTGCACATCAAAACAGGTTTATCCCCAGTGGAGAAAAAAATTATGTACACAACACCGTCAATCCTGCATAAGTGTAAAAATGATTATTGCAGCTGCACTGGAATATTTTGAATGCCAAGCAGTACATACCACTTTGCTCTTAATCTGGATTAGATTAATGCCTTTTAAAGGCTAATCCAGATTTCATAAACGCAGGTAGGATTACAAAGGAGAAAGCTACTTATCCTAATAAAAAAAGAAAATATAGCATTATATTATTATAGCATTGACCTGAACAGCACAAGGACATACTTCATGTAGAAAACTAACAGATAACATTGAGAGAATGTAAAATTTATATGTTATAGATATGTTACCGATTCCCTTCATTTCTGATTATAGCAGGATTATAGTAAACGGCACAAATCTTTCCATACAATATCCTATAATAATTCTTAATATTCCAGTTCCAAAATGTGGCATTGACACGAGGCTCACGGCGTTATCGGCACAAACAGGAAGCCGCGTCGGACAGCAGGCCACACCTCCCATCCTGCCGACGGGGATCCCGCATGCCCCCCACCCATCAACGCTAAACACCCAGCTCTGGTTCTAGCGTCCATTGTGATGGTGGCCCCCACAGGCGCAGCTACACAGTCTGGGACCCCTGACAAAATGAAAGCGGCCACCTTTTGTGGGTTGGGGGGGCACCTTAGTAGAATTAGTATTATTTATACTTTGGCGTGTTCCAGGGCCATGACACAGCCCCCCCCCCCCCCCCAATCTACCAGGGAATCAATGCTCCTAAAAGCCCCAGATGAAATTTCACCAACTTCCCCCAGTCCTCTCTATGGGCATTAGGTCCACAGGGCACTAGTGGAGACCCCCCCCTCCTTCAAAGTCAGTGCTCACCGAGTCCAGGATTCGTCAGGAAACCCCCCCCAGCACCCTCCGCCTGCGGTGAGGGCCGGCATGGCTGCGGCTACACGCCCGCTCCATCCGAGTCGCATGGAGACGATCGCTCTGCAATTACGCCCCCGCAGTCGGCGTGGGCCGGAGTGTGTGTGCAGGGGGGGGGGGGTGGGTGCAGCTCCTAGTGGCCTCATGGGACACCCTCCGCTTCCTCAAGGAACAATGGCCCTCATTATTGCTAGTGCAGCTGTTGCCAGATGTGGGAAGCAGCCGATCCATGCGATTAGCATAGCTGTGATTTTTGGGGTGAGTGCGTCTGCTTGTCAACAGCAAAACCAGGCTTGTTTATGGCAAATCAAATGGGACGAAAAGATCCCAGGCTTTAGTAAGAAGAGTCTGCTGCCAGTGTGACTTCATACTATTCCTCCCTACAGTCAGGGCCATCCACATTTTCCTCCATTAGAACCATCATCTGGAAATTAAACTGATGATTACACCGTGAGTGAGTGAGTATTCTCAAAGAAAACACTGACTTATTTTATAATTAAGCATGAATTCCTGAGGTTTTGACCTTCGGAGCCAGCACAAGCTCACTCACACACAAACCACTAATTCACAAGTTTCATTTTCCCTCTTAAACAGTACAGACGATGGCCACGATAGGTTAGTTTCATCTGGACCTATAAGACACTTCTGTTCTATAGAGACCAGCTGGCTGTCTCGCAGCTGCACCCTGACGTGGGTTTTTATTTTGGTTACTAGATTATTCCCTATCGTCACACACGGGCTGCATTGTCGTAGATGATGTAATGGGGACTGGATAGTGAATCATCACCGCAGACTTTGGAGGAGCACTGTCAAAGACAGAGATTGATATATTAATTAGGGCTGTGCAATATCACACCGCGATTATTTGGCACATGCGCAATAATCACCAGGGCTTTAGATGATGGCCATAAACATATGTCCAGATGCCAGGCTTTCGGTTCTATACAGACATTTACTTACTCAGACGATTTGGTAAGCAGATCTGTAGCACATTAAAATATTAATGAGAGACATATTGTAATGTGCAAAAGTTAGTAACCTGTATAAATTTTGAATGTCCTTATGGTTCATTAACGTCAGACTTTAAACTGCAAAACGCACCTTCACACCACCGATGTCTTGTTTATCCACAATATCTCCTCTTTTAAAAGATGTGGCTGCTGAGCTGTTCCTTTCTTCACCGCCATTTCAATGCTTATCCCAGTAGTAAACAGTAGTGTGCGACGTGCTCCGCTAACCGAATTTAATAAACATAAGGATACGCTGAATTCACCAAATTGCGGGCATAAGGAAGCATCTATATCAGGGGTCACCAACCTTTTTGAAACAGAGCTACTTCACGGGCAATGAGCCATACGAAGGGCTACCAGTTTGAAACGCCCAAGATCCTAAGATTATCTAAACTTCATGTATAATAAACATGTTTTAAATGCTTTTTTTTTTTGTTAGATATTGTCATTTTCAAATCTATATAAATACAAATGTGATTAAAGAAGAATAGCAACAAGATAAAATTAAATTTTAGACGCTGCTCACTGGTGAGTTGTGCTATTTTTAGCACAGGTTCGCGGGCAACTCAAGTGGTCCTTGGGGGCGTCCTGGTGCCGTCCTGGTGCCCGTGGGCACCATGTTGGTGACGCCTGATCTATATAGTATCAAAAAGCTGATGACTGGGTGTAAATATTTACACCAATCATCTAAAGCCCTGGTTAATTTAAGCTTCTAAAGATGACATCTTAAGGGTTCAGAAACACCTCACTGATGCAGTAAATTCAAGAAATCAGATTAAATCAAAACGATGGGTCACTTTTTTCATCCAGAGCATCCATGAGCAGCTTCAAGCTACAGGACATTAAGCTGAGCCGATTTAGCACTAGGTACTTCCAAGGCAATTAAACCATAGAACATATCTGTCAAGAGAAATTATCACTGCAAGTAATCCACAGATGTTTGTTTAATGGTTGTGAGGTACCTGTTGAAAGCTTAAATATAATGTAACAAGGTACAAAATCTGTATTTTTTTTTGAGTAAATTATCCAGTTGGGGCAAGAACTTCTCTTGATAACAGCTAACCAACCAAATGTTATCCTGCATAAGCTATTGACTACTATAATTAGATAATCAAACTATGGATTACAGTCATCAAGTAGTGACATTTCTCTAAATGCCCATGAGAACTGACCAAAGAGGTTACAGATCCAGCTGCTTCTCGGTTTCATGCACCAGCCTTATTTCATTACAATGGCCGTGTGCAGAACTGAGATCCCGACGTGGACGCGAGCACCGACCACAGCCTCAAGAACCGAAGCCGGCGCGCCCCCTTCCCACGGTGCCGGTGTTCTGACGAGTTGAGCTACCTATCGATACGTGCTATCGAGCCTTTCTGCGCATGTGCAGTTCCACAGTTTTGGAATTAGGGTTATGTTTTAGGGGTTAGGGTTAGGGCTATAGATTAACCTAACTCGACAAAGTAGCTCAACTCAACAGAACACCGGCCTCTGAACCATGAGCCTGCAGGGCAGGCGATGCTCAGCACTCACGGCAGCCTCCTGGATGGGGGCGAAACTGCGACGCCAAGCGTTTGTGTCAACAGTCTCCCCATTCAGACAATCTGCCCTTCCCCCGACACACTTGTTTGCTGTACACACACAGCCTCACATGCCGGACAGGGAAGTGGCAGGGAAAGGACGCGCTGATACCGACCGATCAGTGTGGAGTCCCCGACCTGACTCTGGCCCTTCTTCTTGCCGGGTTCCGCCTTATTTTCCAAGGTCTGGCATGCACAGCTCCTCCGATCTCAACAGCAGGCAGCTACGGGTATAAGCTACCTAAATGCGCGGTTAGACCAGAGTAGGAAGACCGCAGGAAGCCGACTACCATGCACACGATCGGTAGGGGAAACAGCAGCGTTAGGAGCATAGCGGGGTGTGGGGGTCTGCGGGGAGCCACCTTGCGCTCTGATAAGTGCCGAGGGGCTGGGATCTCTTTCCAGCCTTGGACTAAGTGCTCCAGATGATATCCTTCACACCATGCGGATATGGAGCGTGTCCTCTCGGCTGGCACATTGTGGCGCGTCTCCATGTGCCGAGCTCAGTGTGAAATGTGGCCTCGAAGATGGAGCTAAAAAACTCAGGCGGCAGCGCTACGTGCTCGGCTCCTCCTCACACAAGCCAGAGAATCGGTAAATCTCGCTCCTTAGTCCCTCTTTCCTCCCCCCTCCCCGACAGCAGGCCTGCCCTCCCCACTGCTGTTTTTCCTCCAGCCTCTTACCTTGAGTGGAGCCTCTTGCTTGGTGCCTCCTGGTCCATACCATTAGCAGCATGAGCCATGAACCGGGTCCGGTGCTGCCTCGCGTGAATCCCAGCTGCGTATCGCTTCCCCCCTTCGCTCCTCTCCCGGCAGCTCCCTCTGTAGCAATGGCAGGAGCCGAGGAAGTGATGTATTATACAAGTTAATGAAAAAAAAGCTGGCGCCTCCCCCCCAGCCGTGACATCAGAGCGGGGCTGTTGGACTGTACAGCGGTGCATGCTAATCCGCTCCTCGGGGACTCACAGCCGGTCCATGCTTTAGCTTCCTCCCAGCCCCCTACCAGACAGCCCACATTTTTGCTCCCTACCGAGAGCTGGGAAGGAGCAAAAATGTGGAATGTTTGTGGGTCCCAGCGAACCGGATTGGAAGCAGGCTGAGAGCTCATTGATACGCACAATCAGTGTGTGTGTGTGTGTGTGTGTGTGTGTGTGTGTGTGTATATATATATATATATATATATATATATATATATATACGCTTTTTAATTTATTTTTATTTTTCTCATCCCACGCTCATTCTGTGTTGATTTCCTTGAGCTTATTATGTTTTTTTTTTTCTATTTAAGACCCGCATTTATTCATATTATATATTTTATTGTTAATGTACTTTAGATTTCCTGAGTTGTACAGCGCGATGTGGCTTTGTCTGTGAAAGGGGCTTTAGAAATAAACATTTACATAGTTTACATTACTTCCTGATAAAGTTTCGATTTCTATTATTTTCTATTTTTGTATCTGTATCCAGTTGATACACTAGACACATCTTATGCGTGGGCAGTAGATACGGTTATAATTGAGCTCCACGATACTGCGGCGATCATTTATATGGGTTTGATAATCAGTTATATGGGTTTGATTTGCATTACTTGTTTCCATATAATCATGAAAAAACGGTTTAAAAGCATGAAACGTGAATAAGGGTAAATATTTGGGCTGCACAGCCTACTTTTTGGGCCCGATTTGACGTGCGATTGTCGCGTTTGTTCTGCAAAAAGTGCGGAGCTGCTCTACGCCGTTTATCCGAAAATTTTCGATAGTTATACGGACAGTCGCTCGGGGGAGATTGTTGCATGCACGCTGCAGGCGATCACCCTCCGTATTTCTGCAGACTAATGCGTTCTTGGGTTTTGAAAAAGAGGCCTGTGCTTTGACACACTGAAGCCGAGGCTTCCGGTGCTGGGTCGCTTTGGGCAGGGAATGACTGCAGCGGTTCGTGCCCGGCAGACCATCCGCTTCGGCTGACTTCTAAAGATAGAAACGCGCCTGACGAAGCGTCGCCTTCGAGCTCGATTGTTGGGTTCAACGCGACTTCCGCATCCGTCTCTTAGAGAAGCTGAGGTCCCCGTACAACAGTTTCCCACTAATTACTGCGAAGTCGTGACAGTAAGCCGGCGAGTAGAAATGTCCCTTTGGTCTTATTATTTTTACTGTTATTTGCAGAGCGACGTGTGTTACAGGAAGATAACATTTTAGAGGACATCTTAGAGGAACTTAAACATCATATTGGGTGACTTGGCCACGAAAGAGAAATGTTACATCTTCAGCAGAGGTGTACAGTGTAATTTGCAGTTTTGATTTGAATGTTTGACTTTCAGAGGCACAATAACAAGGTCGGAGGCCCCTGAGTTACTTAAGCTCTGAGGGGGCCCTTACCGATGGTAAGGGTTAAGTTTAGAAATTTGGACACGTTTAAGGTAGTTCAGGCCACCTTTTTAGAGGTGACAATTGGGCTTCAGCATAGGTAAACCCGTGCATTAAAGGGCCAATTAATAAAATAATGTAGGCCTGCATGACTTTTCTTAATAATGCAATAGTCTAGCGTGAAAATAACACATTTTGAAACAAAGTTTAAAGTTGTTATTATTATAGAATTTGGCTTTGCGGTATGTTAGATCTCATGACTTAAAACAGGGCTTCCGAACGCTTAAGCTTGCCGTCTCGTTGCACGTTTTGCGCAGGCGCTGGAATTCCAAGCTCCCCGAAAACCGCACTGTTCAGTTCCCGGAATCACAGCTTCAGATGGTCCAAGCCAAGCACGCAAACATAAGACAAGCAATTAAAATACTTACATAGTGTTGCCGAAATAGCCCGGAAAATAACCTTACCGTTCGACCTGGTAAATTAACAGACAGTGCATTTGAAGATGTGATGTGGAGCCATTATAACAATAAACTTTTTTTTTTTTTTTTACAATTCAGGTTAATATATTACATTTTTCCTGCCATTTGAGTCTGTGTGGCAAACTCTCACATTCTCATGGTACTCTCTGTGATTTTCATTTGAAATTAAAAAACACTTTTATTTACACTTTTATAGTCTTCCACTATAAACTATTTTAGGCAGCCACAAACAATCCAGGGTGATGTGTTTATTTTCCTAAACCACAAGTTGAACTTTTATTTCTGTGGGTTAACATCTTTGTCTAGGGTATTCTGATGAGTAGGCCACAGTTATAATAAACCTGTTTATTTGGAAAGCTAAAGGAATATCATTACAGTAATGTTCCGCATATATAAGTTGCTGAGACCTAAATTTGTGATCTGAAATTTCGAATAATCATTACCAAGGGCCTTAATGGCCTGTGTCAGCATGAATTTAAAATTATCTATAATTATGAGAAATAAGAAAGTGCTGTCGTTATGTAACGAATTGGAACAGCTTATTATTGCGCAAACAATAGTAATACATTCATCCAGTTTCCACCTGATTAATATGGTGAGGGTCATGGGAGACTCAGTGCCGGGTCGAGATTCATGTCGTGCCTGGACAAGCTATACCGCCCTAGTCCCCCGTAGTTTCCTCTTAATGGGTTGATCGGCACTGCGGATAATAATATTAACTTAGCAAAACACCATTTGAGATCTTTGGAGCCGTACATTTTAATGGAATGTTGGCTCCCACTTGTGGTCACAGGCGGTAGTTGCGAGAATTTTGCTACTAAATAAGGGTACCCTAAAGCTTACGTACTGAAAAAATTATGCCCCATTATTATTTTCTGATATGAACATGAAAAGTACCCCTTACCCATTCCAGGTATTAATTTAATTATTTAAATCCAGATTTGTATTGCACTGAACACAGGCAACAGTAAGGAGTGGAGTTCAATATAGCATAGCTGTATGCTGTTGGGGAATCAGAGTGCGCACATGCAAGAAAGTATACGTGTAACAGTGGGGTCTGGCCGTCCTCGTGCCCACATCTGTCTTCCGTTTCCTACCTGACAACTTAAAATGATTACGTCATTTATCTGTCCACCTTCAGACCGCTTATTCTGATTATGGCCACCATGGGAGCTGGCGCCTACCCAAGACAGCACCTTAAATGTGATGCCGGTTCATTACGGAGCACATAAACACACAAACTGTCACACAAATCCATACACTATGCGTAATGTACAGATGGCACTTACCCTACGTGTGTTTTCGGACTTTCGGTGGACAGTCAGTGCTAAATCAAAAGATAACGAAACTGTATAAACTGTTGCCTATAAATATTGCGGGCCGCTAATTTGAATCCTGTTTCCAGCTCTGTGTGTGATTTGTGAGTTATCTTTTTTGTGGATGTACTTTCAGTGTCCACGGCATGCCGTCTTCTGCAGTGGGCTGGCGTCCTCCGCTGGGTGTAGTGCTTTTTAACATAAAGCCAGAATCGCTCGAAACTAGACTGGATAAGTGATTATTTCAAATGGAATGCAGCTGAGTTATCGAGTGGGGATATTGTGTAAAAAGTGTATTATTCACTAGCTGAGGATGATCACTGAAATAGCATTAGAGAATAACACTTGCCTCTTCACACCGAGACTTAAATCCCATTGTTAGCCGGAGCATAAAAGGGTTGCGCTTTTGTGAGTCTGAAATGAATACTGTTGTGTAGCGAAGGCAGTTGGAGAGGATGCGCCCTCGCTTCGTGACGATCAAAGGGGACGGGAGATGGAAGCGAGGGGGCGACACGGAGCGGCATGCAAATGTGAGACGGGTACGTGGCGCGAGGGGGCTCTTTGATTTACACTAAACACGCGCTGCCTTTGTAGCGTTTTGATATCTTTTACGGCGTCACTCTGCTGCTAATTGCATTGCTTCTTTCTGCAATACTCTCTGGGGAAATATAAGACGTACGCCGGCATTATCCATTTTTATTGCAATTATATTTAACAGATTGCAAATTAATTATGATTCCTGTAATATGAACCTTTTTTGCAGCTTAAGAAATATAATTTCTTAAACATCCAGATGATGCTGATTTAGACTTTTGAATCAGTCCGACAGTTATATGTTTAAAATGTTTTAAATATCTAACTACTGTATCTGATAAATTTGTGTTTAATCTCATTTTGGATTCCCAAATGATAGGAAAATATGAATGATTTCTCCTTAGTTTTTCTCAAAAAGATGCTGGTTTCACGGTCAGAATTAAGCAAAGCGCTGCTGTTAATGATCAGACAATATTGTTTGCAAGTCTAATGCTGATTTAAGAGAAGGCTGCGTTTTGTGCCTGAAGGCCGTGATGCATAGTCCTGGGAGGCCGGAGAAGATGTATGAATCTGAGCGCACTGTCAAGCACCTCAACAGATGGCCTCGGTGACCCGCAGCAGCACGGCCGCAGGCGGAGACTTAATGCATCACTCACAGCCGTCTGCCAGGGGCCAAGGTGGGGTCAGAGTTCGACAAATAGATGAGGCCTATATGTCTCCCGCAGATGGAGATTCGGCCGACACCGGTGTGACGTATGTCTAATTTGCTGGTAAGTCCTCGTGTGGGGGTCAGAAAGGGGAGCAGGTAATCTCTCCATCGCTGAAGTGTCGTCGTTAGCTTTCCATTCTGAAGACACCTCTCCCATTATCCATTATTAAAGAGCTTGTATTTGTCTCCCAGGAATGTCATCTCTGTTGCCTATTATACATTTGCTTTTCCGATATATGGATATATTGTTCTTATGTTTTGGTTTGAAACTTATCTCTTATTTTTGGCTTCTGTCTTCCTCTGGCCATTGTGGAAATGATGGGCCCTGACTGGTAAATTTGCCAGCAGTAGAATAGAATGTTTTCCCATTAAAGGCCTCAGTGTTTTCTCCCCTTTTAACCCACAGTGCAGTTTTTCCTGAGTTTTTTCCTGATTTTCATATGTAAATACTCCTGTTTTATCTATCATGCATTCTGAGTTAAAGGCAGCAGTACACAAGCGTAAAGTACACCCTGGCAATAGTGCCCCCCTCCCCGAAATATGATTGGCCCCCCAGGTACTCCCCCATTTTCATTGGCTCTGAGTGATGTCGATCACAGAATTCAGAATACAGTTTTTAGTAGTTTCCAGATTTGCCCGAATATACATATAGTGTATATTTATTGTGTAATTTAGAAAAATGCAGTTAATTTTATGTGTATGACTGACAGGCATGTAATGATGAATCTCGAATCAGTTAAAAATCGAAGTAAATGTATAACAATTTAAACCGGTTGATGTGAAAAATGAATCGCTACTTTAGGAATACTTCACAGTACTTTAACAGAAAAACTGGTGTAATATTACATTTGATTTCACAACGTCAGTTCAGATGTCACTGCGTATTCACGTCGACGTCGGACGCCAGTTTCTGGTTTTGACCAAACGGGAGCTGGCGAGCGAATTTGAAATTGAGGACGGACCGCTGGACCCAGTGGTTATAGCGCTACTGCATCACAGCAAGAAGGGCTTGGCTTCGGTCTCGGATCCTTTCTCTGTGGAGTTTGCACGTTTTCGCCGGGGGCTCCGGTTTCCTGTCTCGGTCCAAATGCATGCAGGAAAGGTTGATTGGCGAGTCTAAATTGGCCCTGTATTTGTTGCGTGTGTACGCCCTGCAGTGTGTTGGCGACTGCCCGGGGTTGGTTCCCGTCTGCGCCAATTGTTCCCATGATAGGCTCCGGTCCCCCCCGCAATCCCAGTTGGGATTAAGCGGTTTCAGAAAATGGATGGATGGACATACCGCCCGATCTTAAATCGACGGTGTGGCAGCATTTTAGCTTTCCGGTAATCACGAACGAAAACGGCGAGAAAAGCACAGACGAGACAAAAACTGCGTGCAAACATAGTAAAAGACTGATAACGTACACAAATAGCATGTCCACCGGCACCACGTACGGTAAACTGAGCGAAGATTATTAAAAGGGAAAACCATGCTAAAAAGTTGTACATGCGAGCCTTAGTTTATTTATTTGAAGAAATAGTGAGAAAATTGTATCGTGAACCCAGAATCGTGAATCGTATCAAATCGTGAGTTGAGTGTATCCTCACATCCCTAATTACTGCCTTAATTTTTTTTCTCTTAGGACGACCCTGTACCCCTCCCATGCCCCACCTCTGAGAATAATTGGGTGCTTCTGCTTCCTGACCACAGAAATTAATTTTGTTTTATTAGGATTTTTCCAATATCATGAGATGTGTTTGTATTTTTTCTGTGTCTGTGTTTGTACTGTTCTTTATAAATTATCAGTGAACTGTAGTGGATGGATGGATAGATGGACGGACTTTAGTTATTCCAGAATTCAGCAATCAATCCCATGCACTTCCGCTTTAATTACAGTCATTTCAGGCTCCTATGTCCTACAATGCACGGCATTATAACCCTTTTCCAGGAGAGGGCAGTGCACACCTGCTTTCTGTTCATGGCTGCCACCGTTACTGGAAAACGACCGTAATATATTCCGGTATGTTTACCCTAATATTTGCATTATTATATTTCTGAGCGTTGTAAAGGAAATGGGAGTAGGCAGTGTCTCATAACCCCATCGGCAAAACAACAGATACGGTCGGTTCGATATTATTTGTTCTTAAATATTTCATATATTTTCCCCCCTCTGGATAATCTGTATAATGTTAAGCATACAATTTGTCATAAAATTGCTAGTTATATAATGTGATACTGCAAGTATTCTTGTAGTATTTATCCTATTGTCTATGATAGCAGTGTTGTTGCATATATTATATATTACATACAATGTGTGACATTCCATTGTCATAGACCGTTTAAAATTACTTTCACTGAATTCCTGTTCCCACCCTACTGACCTGTTTGGAGTGACATGTTCTGCTGTATTCTTTTGGCGATCCGCCCCTCGCTCCTTCCGGAAATGAATGTGTATATATAATGCTTTACAGCTGCCGTGATCAGGGGATTAAAGAATGCAAGATCATTTACTTATCTTCCCATTTGCTTTATTTTTTATTTATTGTTTTTGGTGCAATTGATTTATTTTATTTGTTTGTTTTGTTTTGTTTCTTCCATTCTAGAAGCATCTTATGAACCACCTGGCTGATTGCGATCTGAAAGAGTCGGGACACTTTTAACACCACAAACCAGACAACATGAACTGTTTTAAGTAGATTTTGCTTGTTCCGGGATAAAAAAATGCCCCCTGGTGACTGATTTCATCTTAATCCCTTTGTTTTTGTAGTGTTACTGTGTAATGCACGTCCTTTTTTTCACAAATATGTGGTCATAACAATATATAAACACTAGTATATAGTGGTGTATGTGTTGATTCAATGGTAATATCCTCAATGATATAAATTGAAACATTTATTACCCTAATATATCCTATGAACCACCTGGTACAGCTGAAACGCAGACAGAAACACAACTAAAACGAATAAAACAGAGCATCAGCCAAAGCTTAAAGGATTGTCGATGTTTAACCAAACACCCCTGAAAAACCAGACTTTAATATTGGTTTTAGGAAAAGGAGGGCCTGTGTTTTCTTTGTCTAGAAAAACAAATACTAATATTAATGAGGTTTATTTTAATTCATTCATTAAATTTCGAGTCCACTAGAAATACTTACATCTCATACAAAAACAAATTTAAGAGAATCTTATTTAAATGGCTTTTATTGATAATATAATCGGGGCGGCTCTGGGGCATCATCTGACTTTGTGCTCGCGCATCCTTTGGTTGTCAGCGCATCCTCTTGCAGTGGAATAGCGTACATAGTTTGATGGATCTGATGTCTAAATTGTCCTTAGCCTGCGTCTGCCATCCTGTCCAAGGTGTACCTTGGCGTTTTATTTTTTTTCTTGAAACAGGATCCAGGTTTGGATAAGTGGTTATGAAAGGCGGAAAGAAAATATAGCTTAATAAGTTATTCCAGTTATGTGTACGTCAGTGGCATGGCAGTGTGATGACGTTTCATAAATTACGTTTAAATCATTCTAAGCAGGATGAAATCCTTTGGGCCACCAAATCATTACGCAGATACATACGTTTGATGCATAGAACACGAATCAGGTGCAATTCTTGCGTAAGGCCGTTAGGGGGAGATGTTAGTTTCGGACTCGATTGAATCTTATAAGTACATCTGGAACAAATGAAACGCACAAGATAATCATGTAGTTGAATCGTGTAGTTGAATGAAATATAAAATATCGATCTTTTAACAATAAACACTTACTGGTGAGAATTGCTGGTATTTACTTGTTTGTGCAGAAAATATCCTTTGTGATACACCACACTTTCAAATTATTCAGATCCAGCTGTATCATTAGTCACTTCTGTGGGATCTATGCACTTCGCAGTAGGATGATCCAAAAATGGGCCAATAGTGCAGATTATTTTTGTATGATTTATAATCTCCATTTTATTTAGCTGAAAACATTTTATTTATGTTTGTTGTGGTGATTATTGCAACCGGGTATGGCATTAAGAAGTATCTCAGCAACATACAACACACAAGAAAACAAGACTAACATGAAAACAAACCGATTTTCTCTCTAATCTCCAAATCGTTTGTCTCTGTCAGTTCTCTCCGTGACACATCAAAATGATCAGCCTATATTACGTAGGAAGGAATGAGAAAAAGATAAATGAGATTTGAGTAAGCTGGTTTAAAGCGGACTAGTTTATTTTTTGAAGTAAAAAAAAAACAACCATCTGTCTATATTGCTTATTCTTTGTTTGGGACCCTGTGTCACAGGGCTAATGTTGTGGGGGTTTTTTTTGACTGATCTTGTATGAACTTTGCATTTACATCGATATTCACATACTCTGTATCAATGCAGACTGCATACTTCACGCACAAGGGAATTGTTACATGACGTAGCACGCTGGTGCTCATCTGCACAAATAACTAGAAACCAGAGCGTACTGAAAAGAATGAGGGCTCAGCTTAAAATAGGTCGCGTACCAGCACCTTCGGTTTCGGCCGTTTTATTAGCCGACTATACAAAGTCGGGGGAGGGGGTTTCCTTTAGTAACTTGCTAGGGACCGGCTGGATCTGCCAGTCCTGTGTGGCCCGTGGTTGGCAGCCACACATTACTTATCAGCTTCCATAGACAATGTTCTTGGATAAAGTTTGGAATAAAAACAGCTGTAAATGGGATGGTGCTCTATCATTTGTTTTCCAATCTCTTATCTTGATCGGGGTCAAAGGTGAGCTCGGAGCCCATTGCAGATACCATTCGGCTGGGCTACGCCCTACATCCATCGCAGGGCACATGCAAGCACATAATAATGCATCACGTGCAGTTGAGGCACCCCAGTCAGCGGAACCGGAGAAGGGAACCCGCACAACACCGGGAGACATACAGAAGAGAGGTGGGACTCGAACCCTCGACCTCAGAGGTGTGAGGCAACGCCGAGCCACCCCTTACTGGGCTGTCCGCATCTGACAATAGTGTGGTCATTGGCGTGTTGAATGACGGCCTTATTAAACATGGATGAATCCACACAGTAAGGACATCTGCTGGTAAATCCAGCAGAGTGTTTCCTGCACCCTGCACTGCATGATGCAGGTGCACAGGTGCCTCAGCATTTGCACCAGACTTTCCCCCTTCACCTGGCCAACTAACCCATGACCCCACCTCCCTGCATGTAGGCCTCCATGGGCTAAGGGGGGGTTAAGTACCACGGTTCATCCCGTAATGGTCTCTCATTGGTCCGATGTCATGTCAGCTTACCACCCAGACCGGGGAAAAAAATGCGTCTGTCCTTTGTGCACCAGCAGGAAAAGGTATAAATCCTATTGTGCTGCACTCAATGTACAATGAATATTGTTTTCTTAGCAGTAGCAGCTGAAAGCAGAGAGATGGACAGACAGAAACCAGTATACAATATCCAGTAATTTAAAAACACGCAATCTAATCTGAAGTTTGGATTTTCCCACAAACCAAATGAATGGAGGTGAGGTTAGTTTTACTAGCAAAAATACCCAGCTATGCAGAGAGCAGAAGTCCCCCTCCAGTGATCTGGTCTCATCAGGAAATGCACTGTTGCAACAAGCTAAGATGCAGTGATTACAAGAACCCCTGGACCACCCACGGTGGCACTTCCCACAGGAGATACCAGCAGATCCCTCTGCCCCATCCAAACAGGAAGCTAAATAAGTGAGATTTTAATTAGGTTTGTGAAAACCTTAAACGGCATGGATTCCCATGATTTCTCTCTGCTCGGGTGTCCGGTCTGAACCTCTGCTCCCTGGAAGTGTGCATGTACCAAAGAAGACTATTCAATTAAATCGGAAAGTATTTATTGTCGCTTTGCACTTTGTAAATTCCACTTAGAAGTCCTATATACTCTTTTTCTTCATCCAGTACTGACTGGCGTTAAAGCAACAGCTGTTGCATGCATTTGCACAGAGTGACAGCAGAGATGAGGAGGCTTAAACAAATTTTCTAAAAAGTGCTCTTTATCTTTGACTCTGGTTACCCTACATTCTAGCACATTAAATGTTAGACCTTCAACCAGACAGCCAGGCTAACAGGAGAACGGCGAGCACAGCGCTCTGCTTTGATAAGGCCAATAAATTCTGGGTAACTGGTGCAGGAAGTGTCCAATTTAATTCCTCTCTGGTCACACGTTTGCATGTTATTACAACCCATTTCCCTGCTTGGTAACACCAAACTGTTGTCAGTTTGCTAGCGCTATTTATGTTGATGCTTTTATGCTGCAAGATAATGTTGGAGGGCTCTTAGCATTCCACATTAATGCTAAAACACTGCTAAAAAAAGTCATCTAAAAACGTGTTGCAGGAGAATTGAGCTAATTAAGTAATTAAGAGGGATTGAGTTTGGGAAGACTAATAAAAACATCCCTTATCCACAAGATTCAACACCTTCTGAATGTCTTCATCCCTCCGAACTGGACTGGTGAAGATCCACTGAGGATCCCACAGCCCAATCTCATAAAATGACCTTGTTCTCAAACAGGCCTCCCACGGACTCCAAACCGACAGCCCCGGGCGCTAATGCGCCAAAGTTAACGAGGCATGCCGCACTCTTCATTAGTCCGCTCGTTATGCCGCAGACCTGACCTCGCTCCGGAGCCTTCACTCTTTGGCTTCGTAGTGCCAGGTCTTCTTGGAAACTTTGCCAATTAGTGCGATTGCTCCTTAAGCAAATTGC